ATACATATATATATATATATATATATATATATATGTATAAGGAAGCCAAAAACAGAGTGAGGGTCTCAAACGTGGGGTTCCTGAGTCAAAACATCTCTTTCCATCCCACACATATGGATTCTCTGTGCACGGTTAGATATTAGACAAAGCTTCTTGAGGTCTTGCCTCTTTACCACAGCCATCCCAAAGGGTTATACTAAATATATTCAGATCAATATATCACTGTATATACATAAATCAAAAGCCCACTTCGACCTATCGGGATCCTAGTCATTAGTTATCCTGCCGCTTCAAAAGCACGGATAGGTTTTCAATTTTTTTGCTTAGTGGTCGCAGCACAGAGCGGCGCAGGAAAATTTCAAGCCGCTGATGTAGTGGGGTAAGGGGGTTGGGTTGCTTGAAGTGGCATAGCACGCAGAGAAATTGTATAAAACCGTCTAATGTCAGAACCCGCACTTCATGACGTTTCCCCTTACCACCGCCGGTGGCGAAACTGCTAACGGAGTTAGCGGGTGCGGATCCCTCTCCAGCGACATGCTGAGGGCTCGTTGACGCAGTGACTCTGCTCGACGGAATGCGGAATTCGATTTTATTGTTAAACCTATCCCGAGGTCTCCCGTTGAGGTCTCTGCAGAATGCAATCGCGCTTTCCTCGACAGATTTACACAAAGTGCTGCACTTCTGGAAAATTTCGGATATCAGATATTGCGTTGTCTCCGTGCTGGTTAGCATGGCGTCCCGCATAAGCTGCAAGAGGCTTTCCTCCTGCATGCATACCACACCATATATCTCTTTGCTGTAGGCTTGATAGACAAGCAGCAGAGCTGGGCTGTACCTGGTGAGAACTTCCTGTGTTGGGATACCCATCTGGATGCGTTTGAGAACTGCTTGGGGAGTCTTCTCGAAACGAATACTATCCTCTCGCAATGTGTAGTCGTTCAAAAATTGTGTAATAGCATCACCTAGCCAAAGTATAGGAGGTAAACCTGGGGCTGCCTCCCCATTTTCACCATCATCCTTTCCACTGCTTTCATCACTGGATAACTTAGAGGACGCGATTTTGGATGGCACAGGATGATAAAGCGCGTTCACAAGGAGTACCAAGGCGATTACAAACGCTGGGAACACTAGGTATTCCGAGAGTAGGGTAGGATGGAGCTGTGGGGATGCATTTTTGTTGCCCACCTCGGTCCCCCTTCTCTGGTCTTCATGGCCTGAAGTGTTGACGCATTCAAAAATGTTAAGGTCGCAACCCTGAATGAATTGTCTATCCTTATTGTCCTCTAAAACACCGCTGTCTAACAAATCAGAAAACCTGTCGAAACTTACACCAAGTTCGCTTACCGAACGAGATGCTCGCATTCGGTTCATATCACTTTCACCACTTGAAGAGCTCGAAGTGAGGTCCAAGCCGGCGTGGGAGTGGATGGCTTTGTAAAAAATCTTGGAGATAAAATTGAGGTCCATCAGTTTGGGCCCTCCCGCGGACGTAGTGTTAATTCTTGCGTCCTCCGCCTTTCCGCGCTCCCGCTGCAGCTTCACGATTCCGAGATCCACACAGAAAGACCGCCATTCCGACAAGTCCATCGCTGGAAGGGCGAGCTCCGGCTGTAATGACGCGTTGCACAGAAAAAGGTTCATCAAGTCGTTCGTGACGACGCTTAATACCTCCCTGAGCTTGCGTTTTTCGCATGTTACATACGAGCTTCTCCAGTCACCTTGGGAAGGTGTCGAGCCTTTCAGAGGCGACACACAGTTGGGGTCTCCAGTTAAGGGATAGGCGGCAATTACGCGGGCCTTCCGTTTCGCGTAAACACGTTCCAGACTCTCGGAGCTGAGCGACGGCAATAGTGACACCCCTTCTTGCTTTAGCCCAATCCGAAGCGCCACAGGAGAGGCACGTGGCCCCGTGAACACGCCACGGCTGACTCTTGAATAGTTGGTAACAGGAATTAAGCAAGAAAATAGGATATGCCAGCGATGAACCTGCAAGGAGCGATTCAGCGCCATCCCTAGCTCGCCAAGGAGATTCGCAAGCTGCGGCGATTCAAATGCCTCGCTCGGCCAGAAGTTTCCACGAAGCAGAAACGGATGAGCGGAGGACCCGAACATAGGCACGCAACGCTCCTTGAAAAGTTGCCATGGGCTTTTATCCTCGTCTATCAGGCGCTCCAGAATCTCGTCCTCAATCCATGATGAATTCTGTGCTCGTTGCTGCCGTTCCTGTAGTCGGCCATCCTGCTCTTGGGCATTCTTTTCCTCCGTTTCACCCCTTGGGGATTGCAGGTGACGGTTTGCGGGACTTGTGTAGCCTCTGGGGTTCAGGAGGTAAAAAATAGCCTCCTTTTCTACGATAGCGCTCTGTCGAGATTTGTGATTAAATGGATGGGCAAAGCGCACGTACAGGATGGCGATAAGGGTGACGATCGACGTACGCTCGCCTATCGCCAGGGCATGCGGATCCACCACTTCATGCAGATCGATCGTGGGGACGGAGGGCGGAAGAGAAATCCCCGCTGTAGCACACACGACGTTCAGCACCTGCTGTCGTTTCATCACGACGGCATCACTCATGATGGAGGTCGACCCGTTGAGAATTTGCGAGGCGAAATGCAGCAGCATCGCCATCCGTTCCGTAGGGGTTATATTTAGCAGGTCTCCAAAGCACTCCGAGTACACAGGAAACGGGGCATCGAGCTGGACGTTGCGGTGCTCGAGAAGCTGCATGCGGCGACGTATAAATTCCTCGGCATAGAGTGTGTCGATGTATTTACCTTTTTCGTCCTTTCCATCCTTAGCCTCCATGAGTACTGAAGCCCCTGCATGCGCCGCCTCACTCGAGCGCTCGTCGTTGTTCGCGTTGCGCTGCAGGTAGCGTGGAAGAGCCAAGTAGAACAAAAGTCGGCTAAGCAAAACCCCGCTTCGCACCTCCTCTGAGAAGCCCCGGAAGCGCAAGGAGAGCGCGCCACCTTTTAGATCATCTAGCGTCTCGAGATCGTCGAGGCAGCTATTTGCCCAGTCCTGAAGAATCGTCATCGCGCTTGGCAATTCCGTGGTGGAGGAGAGCACGATAGGAGCGAGCTCGCCAAACAAGCGTTCCTCCTCCGCCTCACGGGTGGCCTGTGCGCTGACGATGCCAGACTCCGACTCGGCGGAGAGAAACGAGGAGTTGTCATCCTCCTTATGGAGTGACCCATCGCTTTGGAACTGGTCGTTCAACTTCTCATCGGCCTCGTCTGCGCGCGCATCGGAGGTCTTTTCCTTGCTTTCGGGATCCCTTGTTTCGTCGGTCGCCTTTAGATCGGAGCGCACACGTCGCTCATCGGCCGCCTCTGAGGCTTGAGTAGACGCCCCACATAGCTCGCCGGCGATTCGCATGGTAACCCGTTGCCATGGTCGAGTACGATGCGCCCGGAGGCGCGACCTAAGCTGAACGATATGCCTCTCCTGATCCATGAGCTGAAATTGCTTCTTCTGGGAAAGGTTACAGTAATAAATTTTTTCCTCAAGCGTGCGTACAAGGTCGGCCTCAAGGGTCCGGTTACGCTCCTGCAAGCCATTTCGCTCACGCTCCAACGTTTGGATTCGTCTGCGTTGGATCGCGATCTCGCTACGTAGGTGTGCACATACTTCGTTTTCCTCCTGAAGCATATCCAATATCGTATCAAGGGTGGGGTCCTTGGGCGAAGCATGACGCTCGGAGTTTGGTTCTACGAACGAGGAGGGTTGCATCTCGGACTGTGTAGGTGAGGCGGTGGTGGGGCTGGATATAGTAGCAGTGTCATCGAGGACCTTTGTGGATGGGGATCTATTGGGCTCGTTCCTATCGGATTCGATTGTTTTTCCCCTTCCCACAGGCTGACCGATAAAGCTGTCGACCGTTCCTACGCAAGGGGATGACGTGGTGGCACTATTCTCATCTCCTGTTTGGTCCTGATCCCGCGTCATCTGGTGATCCATCTTTAGCGTATCTCTGGATTCCACAAACCCAACTGAGGGGGTACCTGTGCTTGATGCCTTCTTCTTATGCTGTGCGCTCTCTGCCAACTTGACAGCAAGAAATCTCGACCGAGCGAGCGCCGTCTGAGTCTCATTCCGGAAACTCGGTTTCGCGTTCGAGAAGCTCACCGTGGAGGGCATCAGTATGGAGCTGTTCGGAAAGAACGCTGATTCGGTTGAAATGCACGAACTGTTCACGATGGAGTTGTATTTCATCTTGATACGACTGAAGTACGACTCCTGGATCTCTTGAAACGTGACCAGCCTCCAGGCGCCAAAAATTTTCTGCAAGCGCAGCCTCCACCTCACCCGGAGGAGCATTTTGCTGGCTAGTTCGAGCGAGGCGAGGCGGCGGCGGTAACCCATCATGCACCGCCGCCACGAACGCAATGCCCAGTGCTGCAGCACCGACTCCATGTACTGCATATCCTTACGGCACTGCTGCGTGGAGTCCGCACTCAGCAAACGCATGCTGGAGCGCAGCGGAATCTCGGAAAGCCGCGTGACCTGTTCGCTTAACGTCCCATTTGACGGCAACACGGAGGTATAGAGGGCAAAGTTCTCGTAAACGTGTGGGAGAAGATAGCTATGGAAGAGCTCCATGGCGAACCCGACCTTGGGCACACTCGCCTCGCACTGTTTCAAGACCTGCCATAGCAGCGCGACACTCGCCGCCGTCTCGAGGGCCACCAAGGGTTTGATAATTCGCTCCTCTGGCAGCGATACCGTTGCAGGGGTGATCACCCCATTCAAGACGGCATCCTTGGTGAGACGTTGCTCCGTCTGCAGCAGCTCGCTGATGTAGTCCTTTTCCTTTTGGGTGAGGTATAACTTTTCCGGAGATGCGGGACCCACCTCGTCCCCTCTAAAGCAAGGGTCAGATGCGTCTTTTATTCGGCTAATGAAACCGGTGCCCTTGCCCAAGTCACTGCCCGCATCCACATTTCTTGCCTCTGCGTAGGAGTAAAGGCGCATCGTGTAGGTTTGCAGTAGCGATACGGTCCGCTGATGCAGCTGAGCGCGTAGGCTGACAAAAAGGCTTTCTATTTTATGTGCAGGAATCACACTCCTGTGTGGCACTGTGCTTGGGGATAAATCATTCCGACTCATTTTCGGGCCACCGCTACTATTAAGCGTAACATCCATCTGCGAGTTCGTTTCTTCCGCCGCCAGACTCACCAATTTGGGGTTAATAAACACCGTCTTCGCGGCTACGCCTGCCCTGTGCTTTTCGAGCTCACATTGATTCCAGTTGTACTCCTCTTGAGAAATGATGCTGCTCGTCAGATTCTCCAGGTCATCGTAAAGGAAGGATTCTAACTCATCGCGAAATTGGAACAATCCGCGCATCGCCAGACGCTTTTTCCAAAGGTCGTAGAGGTGTTCGCCAGCAGGTGAATCCGAGATCGCTAAGAAATTCTGGACACCACTCTTGCTATCCGTACGCAGCGATGCTGCAAAAGCTAAAGAGTACTTCGACAGAGCGTCAGATTCGCAAAATATATTGCTATCGGTTACATTCACTTTAACTTCTGACCCGAAGGCTGGCGAAGGGAGAGAATGCAACCGGGTTACCGGCTTGCAGGAGTGGAGGCCCACAGCGATTTGAGGGAGCTCGTCGGCGGACGCGCGCTTGAGGCGTGAGCGGCTGCTCTCAGTCGACGCAACAACACAAGAATCCTTCTTGGCTGCCGCCTCTGCCTTGTCGTTCACAGAGCCCACAAAAATGGGTAGTACCTGAGGTTGAACCAGGCATGGATTACGTAGAACGTTGATTTCAAGCGTTTCAGCACCATTATCCCCAGTCCGATTTCCATCCGTTAGAGGGGCGTGCTGCTTTCCGCTCTTGGATACTTCATGACGTTGATTTCCTCCTGACTGCACCTTCCATGGTATGGGGGCTAGTGTATTGAATCTTGCCGCAGCCGTGGTGCGCGGCGTCTGTGGCTTCCCACCCCCAGGTTGAGGAACTGTCTTTGTTTTCTGCTGCGACACTGAGGGTATGGTCTTATCAAGTACGGTGTAAAGTTTAGAAAATCGAAAAGAATAATCCTGGAAGACGCCGCCGTCGCGTGCGAAAGAGGATGATCTTTTCTCCGTTTCTGAGTTTGGCTTTCGTCTCATTGTGAATTTAGCAAAAAAAAATCTTGCTTGATGTTTGTAGTGAGTGCTTAAAGCTTTCTACAAAAGGGAAGCACCCATGCGGGGCCACAAATAAAACCACTTAGCAGCAACAAAAAAAAGGGGGCAAACTTTTTAATGGTCATTTGGCATCCGCCCATCTCTTCTCTTTCGCAGACTCCCACAACAGTCACACTTTTAAAAACATCGCAAGAAATCCATACGTGCTTCCAGGCCTATTCACCTTGACCGTCGTCTGCTCCCCCCTCCCCCCCCCCCCCCCTTCTCCTCTTTTCACACCCTAACTAGACCCCACTACACTACTGTGACATACTCCACAACAGGGAAGAAACGTCCCACTCGTTGCAGTAGAATGTACCCCACCACTGTCACAAACACCACGACAGACAGCCTTAGTAGCAGGTCATCCCTCGACTGTACCGCGAGCAGACGTCGCACGAGCTGCTGGGCCTGGGCCATCCCCGCGTGGACCTCACGAAGGGAATGCTGCACCAGGCCGAGCGTCTCGGAGCTGGTCGCGAGCTGCTGCACGGTAGACTCCACCTTCTGCAGCTCCGTCAAGAGCATCGTGCGGGTGTGAAGAAGGGAACGGAGGGAGGCCGCCGCGTCGGCCGCACCCACGTCATCGGTAGGCGGCCCGGCCGTTCGATGGGGATCGCCGGGCTCGTGGCGGGCCTCTTCGAGAAGGCTCACGGAGTGCGAGAGACGACGCCGCAGCTCCTGCCGACGCTCGTCAAGCTGTAGGAGCAACGCGGAGGGGATGTCAGGGATGGTCACGTCCCCGGATGAGCTAAGGGGTTCAAGGGCAGAGGTAGAGTGCGGCAGTTCGGATGGGAGATCTGCGGTCTGTTCCTGATGCCGCCTCTTCCTCTTACTCTGCTGCTGCTGTTTCCTGAGCTTCAGGTGCAGGCTGTCGCTAAATAGTAGTAGTCGTCGGGCTTCTGCTATGGCCAAAGCGAATGCCCCATGGTTTTGCACGTTGGGCTCCGCCGTATATGCGCGTTGAGTGCTAAGAAGTTCGCGAAGGGAACGTTGGGTGCGGTTATCAAACGCATGAATAATATCCTCCGTGATATTCTGAGGCATTCAGAAAAGAATAAAAGCAGTATTCTAGTGTCTTTGAAACAAATTGAAAAGTGTTTATATATTTTCAGTCTATAACATGTGTATAGTTACTAAAAGTAGGGTAGATACAGAAGGATTTCACATAGATTTCATTGTAATGTTGACGAGCCTAACAAGTGGTAAACCTGTATTCGATGGGTGCACGCTACCAAACCACTTCATCGCTTGACTACATTTCTTTTTCCGCAAAGTTATGCAACTCTCTATAATTCTTCAAAACACCTCCACCAACACGCTTTGCATTGGGGTTTACTCCCCTCGAGGGAAAAAATGTCCGAAAAAGGTTTCGCTCTATATGCAAAGAATAATTTTACTCATTCCCGCCAACACGCTTCATCAAGTACATCTATTGAAAGCCGTTAGGATCTCTCTCACCCTCCTCCACGCTTTTTTGCGTTTGCTGGCGTCTTTCCGGTTATCTATGAATTCCTGGAACTTACCTAACACTGCTGTTCCGACTGCGCACGCTTAATCACCAGGCTTCTAAAATTACACTCCCATCTTGAGATTCATGCCATTGCTCGACAAGAATGCTCCCGATACCCTACCTTTTTGGCGCGAGATTTTTCCTTTTCATCAAAACCTATCTCCTTACTTCTAAAAGTTACCTCACTCACAAAAGACGACGTTGGAGTTGAGTTACTCAAATCATTCGAACGGTACGCTGGTGAGGAACGCGACGACAAGCCGTTTGTTTTACTTCCACTAGAGATCCCTTTTGGTTCGCAGGTACCCCTCAGTCGGTCTGTCGTATCGGATTGTAGCGTGATGGAAGCAGGATTTTCAACAGATCGGTGAGTGCCGCTGGAAGGAGAGAACCTTGAGCCTTCACTGCTCCCGAATTTACTGGAGGAAAAGATACTCAACAGAAAATTCATCGGATCATCTTGAATAACATCCTGCATGCAGTTTCGTTTAGCTGGGGTACCTTCCATAGGATAAGATCTTAGAGGCTGATAAGCCAACTGCCGATCGGTCGTCTGGGAGTGTCTGCTGGTATGAGAAGGGTGCCTGTGTTTCCTGTCGCTGCTCATACTTAGGTCCTCTTTGTGATGCACCATATGAGGGCGATCGCTACCGCCTCTTATGTCATAGCTTAATTCTCGTGAAGTGGAACCCAGGCATTCCGTGAAGAGAGCATGGTTACACGTGTGGGAAGTGTTGTAACGATTGGGGCGTTCCCATGTATTAGCGTTGTCTGAACTCGAGATGGAGGATACTTCAGGGGTCGTGACACTCGCCGTGGCGCTTCCTCCACTCCGCGTCCCCCTCGTGCCCGTGGTGGGTTGCGCATTTGTCGTTGGTTTCAGCGTGGAGACGGATGCGTCGCGCATTGCGGAGAATAGTTGTGAACCTTTGTTTTGATTGGGGCTTAATATGTTCTCTTCAGCGGCTTTTTCTCCACCTATCCCAAGGCGGTCAGGTCTGTTGCTTGAAATGAAATGTCTCTTGGATTCCCTTTTAGGCGGATTTGATATATTCGTTTCCCTGCAGACGCGCTGGGCATCGGCTGGATTATCAGATTGACTAGGGAGCCTCATTTCATGGTGTTCAAGATGATCTTCCTTTGGCTCTTTGCGGTTACTCACGCTTTCCTTGTTAGAGTCCTGAAGATGGCGAGCCAGTTCATCCTCAACGGCATGACGGATGGACTGTCGGACGTGTTCTCGAGTTACCCGACGCACCCGCTGCGCCATGCTGGATGACAAACGTTTATCGATTTCTTTCAAGTAATGCTCTGCGGCATCTCGCACCATCTTATCAACCGCCCCAAACAAAGCGTCCCGCTCGCTGCATGTTTCATGCTCAAAAGCGACGGACCGTTTTTGTGATGAGGTTTTGTTCTCGCTTTTGGCAAGAGCATCTTTTAGATGATTTATCTCCTCTTGCTGCTCGAGTGCCTGACGTGTTAGCTCCTTTAAAACTGTCTGGTAATGCTCAAGAAGACCATCAGTGGTAAACGTTTCTAAGAGAGCTGACTTAGCATCTGCTGAGGACGAGGACAAAAAATGGCTTTGAGAATGTGCATCTGGGCGCATCCGAGATGTGGGTACAGTATCTTTGGAAAAAGACGTGTGAACCATTTAGGGATTGTTGGAAAAGGTATAGCTTCGAAAAAGAAGTCCTGACGATTATTTTTTGTTTAAGAAGATAACCAAACAAAATGTAGTGTGTGAGTCCATAAAAAAATAAAAATGTAATAATACTCTCTATGTGAATGGAAAGAAAAAAACAAAAGTGAGCGCGTGCGGTCTACCCCACCCAAGGTCTTGCCTATCGTTGCTCTAAGTTGTTAATAGTAGGCTACTAAGTCTATGATAATCACTAGGTAAAGCCTTTTCCTTTGTCAACCTACCTCTTGTGCAACTCACGTCAACAATGTGTAAGAATGAGAACAATAATATCCATTTGCATGAAAATTGAATATAAAGTAGCCTCACCAAGAAGTTTCATGAAAAGGTGTTTGGTTGAGGGAACAAGAACTTGTTCTGAATCATTCCAACCTACCCGCATTAATTTGACAAATTAGGATCCAGCAGTGGCAAAGAGAGGCAACATTACTAATCAGCTTCTAAAGGACCTTCTTTCTCCACCCCTTTTCCAATCCAACTTCATCTACTAAACCTAATGGGAAGCTAAAAAATGCGTGGAGGTACCAAACTTGTAGACCTGCCGTCTCTCATACCCCATATCCTTCATGAAACCACTATACCGCCAGTAGCCACCCTGCCAGTAGGTGAAGTTGAAAATTGGGCTCACACGACCGCACACGTAGCTGAGCATCGTCTGCGGACCGCACACGAGGATCATCGGGCGATACGTCTCGAGCGCACGAACTTGGCCGTCCGCCTCGCGGACGTTGACAATCCGTAGCGGCGGTGGCAATGAAGTCTGGAGGGTGGAAGGATCCAGGCTCCCGAGAAACAAATTCTCCCGGGGCACCAACCCCGGGTCGCACTTCTTCCCCATTGTGAGAACATTATAGCGGACGGCGATACGATCCGGGTTTCGCGCCTGAAGCGGGTCGAAATAGCTCTTCTTGAAAGGGATGCCGAGGGGTGTGCTATGGCAGTAGAGGACGGAAAGTTTCGTCCGGTCGTTGGGGGCTTTGTCAATGAAGTTCATTAGCTGCAGCGCGATAGACGCCCCACTAGTGGAACAGATCAGACCCATCTCGGGGGTCTTGTTCTTTTGATAGTTAAACTCCTTCATCCAACGCCCGAGGTATACGATATCACCTCGCTCCAAGTACCGCAAGCGCCCCGACATTCGCCCCGGATCACAATCCTTGATGGCGAACTCGATAAACCCATGCTCGCGAGGGTGGCTAATCGGTGTATACCACCGTGCGAGCGAGGAAAGTTGCTTCACATGTCCACTATACATCCGCACCGAGCTCACGGGCTCATACCCGGCGTAATCGTATGAGTGTGGCAGTGCAAAGCGGTAGACCACCATTTGGCTGCCCTCCTCTCGAGTTTTCTCCACGAGTGTGATTGGGACGCGTGGGCAGAAGAGATAACAACGCCGCGCAAGCGGTTTCGCCTCTTGCCAAGGAATGAGGAAAGCATGGTAGACGCCGTAGCTGACCCCCATCGCAACCCCAACCACGGTGACCACACGTGCGACATAGCCCTTGTTGATGTCGTTGAGAGTGCGTAAAAATAAGGAAGGGATATCCTGTAATACGTAGGACCATCGCCTTGGGGTTTTTTGATGACTCTTGTTGTTTTTGGTATTCCTCGAACTCGTTTGTTGACGTTTCTGCTCGTGATAAGCGCTATCGCTGAAGTTCGTTTCCTGTTGTCGTTGATTATAATGTGATTTGGAGTTGCTTCCGGTACTCCTGGGGTCCGGTAGCCTTTCGGGAGGAAGTCCCATCTCGCTTCGGCGTTCACCGCTGTGGAGTCTCCAGTAGAGAGCTTTCCTTTCCTTCTGTATGGGACCTAAGATTACAGTTGCCCTAAGGCCTAAGAAAGACCGTAAATATACAGCAAAAGGAGCTTTGAAGAAAAAAGCAAGTCCCCCTCTCCTGAGGAGTTTGTATTTGAGAATTTTAAACACCTCTTTTTCTCACACATTCCAAGATTGCCTTAATTTCCTTCTCGGTTGAGCTTTTATTGAATACTTTCGATAGCAACCATCCCTCGACATAAACCGTTAAGGAAAAAAAACAAAAGTGCCCTCTACCGAATCCTAACAAAGTGCTACAAAAATAATAATAATAAAAAGAGGATTGCTATTCCCTTTGGGCCCAATATGGCACTATCCTCTCCGCCATCGCCTTTCCTTCCTTACTGAGAAAAATGGACTCCTCTCTCTTTCCTCTAAATACCACCGGACTCATTTGCAGATACACGGCCACACGCCTACTACTATAGGTTATTCCTTTACCTAGTAAAGTGTCATCTTAAACCTTTCCTTTTGACTTACATCTGCCCCTTTTCCGCAAGCGTTTCTAACAGACCCCCGGCCTCGCTCTCTGGCACTACCTTGACGCTTCGACATTTCTTGAACACCTCATCCAAAGCGGCCTTAAGCGCCGCCTCCTCGGCGTACAGAGTGGCTCTTTCCCGTAGCGCCTGCAGGACGGCCTCCGCGGGATCCCCGTCCTCACCGATCACCACCACCTCAACATCGTCAATCAAAAACCCGCTCGGGCGGACCTTATGACCTTCCAGCTCATGTTTCTTCGGCGGGTTAAAGAGATGCCCGGCGGTGTACGCCTTGGTGGCGACGTCCTCGGTGTAGTTGTGCGGCCACTTAAAGCCGTACTCGGAAACATGCCGGCGACCCCAAAGGCGATGGGAGAGGGATTGTGGGAGTCCCATCCGCGTGGGCAGGCCTCGCTGCACGCGGCCGAGATCCTCTTCGATGAGATCGGTGGGTTGGATGGGATGGGTTTGATCGAGCGGCGACGAGGCCACATCCCAGGCCCGCGAGATCACCCCATTCCCGATGCGGTGATGTCGACTTCCGTAGAGGTAGGGCGAGGTGCGGATCCGATCGGCGATAGCCTCAGGGGCCACCACCAACGTTAAATGCCCATCCCTCGGGGAGAGCACCGACTCCGCAGGTAGGGTGAGGAGCCCCTTGTCGTCCGCGTAGAATCCCCACCGCGCGCAGAGAAAGGCGACGGTATCCAAAAGCACCTCACAGCTCGGCTCCCCGCCGATCACCGCCTTCATCGGGATGCTATACGGCTCCAACGCGAGGAAGCGATTCCCCGATAACCCCATATCCTTCGGCCGGGGTCCGCCAAACTCCTCGACGATGCGTGGCGCCTCAAAGTCGTAGCCAGGGGCGTGATACACCAGCACGCCCGGGCGCCGCCACGCCCATTCGTCGATTGGGGACTGCGAAACGCGCTTGACCAGGGTGATCTCCTGCCGAGAGACGTAGTTAAACTTTCGGATAGCCGCCAAGGAGGTGAAGTAGGCGTGGGTGGGGTTATCCGTGATGATGCGGTAGGGCGTGCAGGTCTTAGGATCGCTGCCGAAGACGCCATCCACCAGATAAAACCGCAGGCCGTTGCCGAGGTGATACTGCACCTCCCGCAGAACCCGCTTCCCGTGTAGCGCGCTGATCTCCGAGAAGCCTTTGTTTTCTGGATTCTTCAACCGTCGATGCATCTCGTGTTCTTTGGTGTGTGGGAAGACGAGCCGTTGGAGGGGGCTGGTGGGGTTGCCGTAGCGAATGGATACCGCACCGCTTTGAGGATCCTTCTTCCCCCACGCCCGGCCACGCAGCTCGTGCGGGCGCAGGTTGTACTCCCCGATCCCATAGGTGTAGCGCCACACCCCGGACCACATCCCCGCATTCGCGTAATCCCCCACCTGCGCCCAATTCGAAATTAACGTGCTGCTGTTCGCATTCCACCACGGCCCGGGGTCCTCGTTCGTCTTGCGGAAGAGCGTCAAGGAGTCGTACCCCCATCGATGCATTTTGCGCAGATAATCCCCATCTTCCTCCGCGGTCGAAGCGTCAGAGGAGGGTCGTGGCATCACTTCCAGCCGAAATACCGGCTTCCGGCGCTCCTCCTCGGCGTCAGGGTTACAACAGATCTCGTTGAGAATGGACATCTGCCCGGCGCTCTGGCCAGGGATCGGTTTGAGGGTTTCCTGAATATTCGCATAGCGCACCCCTCGGCGCTGGGCAAGCAGAGCCCCTCCTGTGAGCCCTAGGGGAGCCTTAACAAGAGGCTTGGATAACAATGACGGGCGCAACATATGAGTAATAGGCAAGCTGGTGCTTGTTGAAATGATCCCCTTAAAAGCAAGCCACTGGTCTATAAGTACTAAATACTAATGCTAGCAAACACCTATCGTATGTGATATACTATGAAGTTACACACTTCCCTTTCCCCTATCGCTAAAATTTACCTTCTATGAAAATGGAATTCAAAATCGAAGTAGATATTCAAAAGTTTTGTAAAAGCACTTATTCTGCACTTGCTCCCCACTTATTCCAAACCACTCCTCCCTTCCCCCTCCCCTCCTTAATTTATTTAGGTAATGAGGATTGCCGTGCTTGGTTATTATTTGACCTTTTTAGTAAAACGAGGATGATCCTGCTCAAGACAGTATGTATATTGTACCTAAAGGAGGTGCTCAAGGATTAATGAGTCCGCATAATGCAACATATCAACCATATTGGAATCTCATACACCTAAGAATTAGTGTAATCGCTTAGTAAAGAACAAGAATCAACAAAGTCAGGTATCTCAACACTCCTCAGTGCCAAAAAATGCATTGCTCAACACATTATGCGGCAGGCCTTGATAAGGTACCCATTAAGAGCCCTACAAAGATATATTCGAGCTCACTAATGCTTCATTCATCCCATTACCATCATGTTAGAGAAAAATTCACTTGCCTATTGCTTCGACGTTTAAATATTAAAGATAGGGTTGATTGAAATCGGGGTAAAAGAAGTGCTGAAAGAGCTTTAAGAGCATGAAAAATTCGATATAATTGTAAAAGAATCTAGAAACAATCAGGTAAATGGGTTCACAGGATCGCTTTTCCTTTTTGATGAAGCTGAAACATTCCAAAATCAACAAAATTACATAAAGAATAATATTGAGCCAAAACTTGTACAGAGGCCTTATTCTATGTGTTACACACGATACTATTACAAACATATAGTAAGCAATGAAGAATGGGAACTAAAATGTTATAATAATAAATAATTTCACCGAATTCAACATAGAACCCATAAGGGAAAAATATAATCAGAAGCCTCACAGTGTGATAACATGTCCTGGACAATGTAAACTATAAGTGTATAGATTGACATTGAATCTTATAAGCTGAGTTTCCCACTTCTGGACATAGTATATGAAAAAAAATCATACAAAATCAAGCTAATCAGCATAAAGGTTAAATGAGTCTTGGGAAAATCTGTATCTATTCCCAAATTTCCCAAAACAATATAGCATGTGAATCTCAAAGACTAGTAAACCATGCGAGAGAGTTATTTCATTTCGACAATAAACCAGATTATCAATAATCAATCAAGTGTTTCCGGGACAAAGCAGCTTTATAATCACACGAGCATATATACATCAATACATACAGAGATAAAAAAACACATAACATATATGTGTATACAGGTACTTATATTAATATATGCAAATGCAGAGTTGTATGTAGAAACACGACTTATTCGACTCCCTCTATTGCTTATAATCAGTAAACTAATTTAGTCAGATAGTAAAAGAAAAGGTTATATATGTTTAAAAAAAAACTAGTATTGTTATTGTTATTACCAAAAACACTACTTAAATGGGAATGTATAGAAGGACACAAAAGTTGCAATAAGCATGCATCTCAAAATTATCAACACTATCGTGTTGTTGATATTATTAATCCACCAGAACAATATTTCAATCTTCCTCAAATGGCATCGTATCAGGTCAATCTAGTCATTGCGTTTATTTAGCTCCTGATTAGATAGCGTATGCATGAATAAGGAAACAAAATTACAAAAAGATTCATGTAAAATACTAAAACACTCAAAAATATTAGCCAATCGCTACCTGTATTAATAAGTATAAAAGGGAAGACGGATAATTAAAGATACAATCAGATATATGGCAAATGCGCGTTATACCCATACATCAATATATAAAAATATGTACATGCAAGATTCACCACAAGAAAGCTGCTCTTCATCTAGCATTTCACAACGAATGCATTTTGAAAATTTTTGTAATATTTTTTCTCAAAGTGGTTTTATGGCATCCTTTTTAGATGGAGCCGCGCACTAACTCAAAGCAAGAGCCACAGAGTTCACTTCTTCCGATCAAGGTTTCGTCAGGACATTAGAAGGGAAGGTTTGTATCGGAGGTAGATGGTTTGATACTTTCGACCATGACGGTTGCAATGCGAGGGAATTAAGAGATGATAAAGTGCTGGTCTGATTCTTCGGCTCTCTTAACAGACCGATATTATACATGCAACTCGATGGGTGGCTTGAGTGTGGATCAGTGGTTGTTTTTTCGACACATTGAGCAGTTCCTTGAACGCGGGGAAGGTTAAGCGAGACATCTGATCGAGGAGACGGGTAGATCTGTCTGAACGAGCTCAGTAACGTCCCGGTGGGCTTATTCCCGATGTTCTCGTCAGAGGTGTTATCGGAAACCCCAACGCTGCGGCATGGCACTCGTGGATCGCCGGTTTGCTTTTCAAGCATGTCAACTTCCCCTACCGAGCGCGCGGAGGTTCGGGTTAGACTTTCAAACGGCAATCTCGGTAAGTTACTCCCAACGGAGCAAAGCGAAAGCCATCGGCATCGCTGGCAGCGGCGCCGGATCACCGGGCGCGTTTCCGGGATGGGGCCCCCACTTGTAGGGGGCGTGCTCAGGGAGCGTTTAATAGGCGATAGAGGTCCAGGTTGGGGCATTGGAGCTAAACAGGCCGATTGTGTCCCCTGCTCAGCCGGAGATCGGGGTGAAGCAAACTTCCTCAGCGAGTAGAAACCGCGCATCCGGTTATTTTCACTGGTGATTTCCTTAGGGGGCTTCCGCTGTTGCTCGTTTGGAGTGCAGTCGGCTAACTCCTTGGTGGAATTCTGCTTACCTTGTATATTAATTAGCTTTTTGACTTGAAGACGTGCCTGTGAAACCGTCATGCGTTTCTTTGGCTCACGCTCCAGCATCCCTTTTAGTAGCTCAGTCCACTCCACTCCGTACTCCGTTGGAATCACCGGCTTGGTGGGATCCCGAACGGCGTCGATGGTGGTGAATGGAAGCCTCCCAGTAAGCAGCGTAAACAACGTCACCCCCATCGCCCATATATCCACTGGCTTCCCGTTCGTGCTGCTCCCTTTCCAAACCTCCGGTGCGAGGAACAACATGGTTCCCTTGACACCCCAGATCTTCTGCACGCGGGCGTGTGCCTCGGTGACACATAGATCCTTACTTTGCACCATACTCTGCTCCATTATGTGATGCATCCGCTGGAGGGATTGCTTATCGAAGACCTCGGCGAGACCAAAGTCCGAGAGATACAATACACCGTTGCTATCCATGAGGATGTTCTGCGGCTTGATATCGCGGTGCACGACGTTATGTCGATGGAGATATTCCAACCCCGCCAGAGCCTGCCGTACCACCTGTACGAGCTGCGAGGGTGGAATGGGCTCACAAACCTTATCGGTGTTGTCGCTCAGCTTGATGTCGGCGATAACGCCACGGTCGACGTATTGCATGACGAGATAGAGTTCCTCGGCGTTCGGGTCGTCGATCACCTCGTAGAGGTGGACGATGTTTCGATGCCGCAGCCGCTTCATGACGGATACTTCACGCATGAAGGATTCATAGTTGAGCTGCGCCTGCGTGGGGCCGCCGAGGCGGCGTTTGAGATCCGCCCGTAGCACCTCCTTCAATGCCACCAGGCGGGTATGGACGGTGTCGTATGCCAGCTTCACCTTTGCGGACGTACCATGTCCGATACCCTCGAGGATCTGGTACTGGTTGATGAAGCGGAGTCCGGACTTCGTCTTCCACTTCCGCATCGCGTTTGTCATGCACATATTCATTACATCCGGGGCGCTGGCGATGCTGTCGTCATCGCTGTTGACAGAGAGGTCAGACGGTGTCGTACTTGACAAATCCGGCGCCTGCGTTATGTTGACAGAGGGCCGATTGTAAGGGGGTACGGGATACATACTTAAGGACTGTGTATCGTCATTGCTAAGGGTAACGTATCCAAAGCTATACGATTGATTACCGATGCTACTACCAATATTGCGCCAGCTGTAGTTTGAGCCCCGGCTTCGAAAACTGATCATGCCCTTAGCACAAGCAGCATATCCCCCCTCTATTGTTACCTCAGACCCCATGCTACGCTTCCGATGATATTGGTTACCCTTAGAAAATGATTGAAACGATATGGGATACGCGCTTTGCATATTTTTTGAGGATGCTGTGTATTTAATTTTACCCTCTGCAAAGCTCACAGTGGCTGCCTTCGTTCGTTGCTGGGTGCTGACTGCGGGGGAAGGATCAACCACATCCGTCGCGGATGCAACCTTCGCAGTAGGCACCCCCTGAAAGTCATTCAAGGAAAAATTTTCGTGCGTTGTAGCTTCTGAGATGGTGGGTGATATTGTTGGTACTGATGTGTCCCGAGATGCGGGCTCTCTCTTCATCAGAAAACTGTTTAAACCTGCCAGACCATGCCGATCGCCTTCGGTGCCGCCAGTCTGGTCGATTCCAGCGCAAGTAATTTGCACCGCATGCCTTTTCCCTTTGTGGATAGATAAAGATGAAAACTCGGAAGGAGAATGCGCAATCACCTCCGGTATGTTTAGTGTCTGCAATTTAACTTGATTCTCTGATTCAGGAACCCTTGCCTGTGCTGATAAGATCTTTTCAGAGTCAGAATGTAAGTCTTTAGACTCTCTTCTCTTAATGATATTCAACACGTAGGGCGATCCGATGCAGCTCCATGCGGTACTAGAGGATACGGTTTGATAGGAGCTGCTATTGCTACTCTGTGAAAGAATCGATGCGCTGAAATTAAGCGAACTGAAGGTCTTATTGCATGACAACGCCTTTCCTGGGATAGCAAGCTGCGTATTGGGATGTTGATTGCAACTACTGTTGCTCAGGTTGACAAGAGAGTTTATTGTGTAGTTTGCTCTCCAGCTGCTATCGTTACGCTTTAATATGTTAATCTTATCCGTTGGAAACGATGTCCACAGAGAACCGAAGCTGTCCATGTCACAATTCTGCGTGTTAGAGGAAAATACATATCCATGCTTTGCAACATTTGAAGGGATAGGAGCATTTTGGTTAACCTCGGGAATCACATTGCTATTTGAAATTTCAGCATTGAAATCTCTCTTTTCCTCTGATGTAAGGGTATCAGAGGTTATGGAAGGGGTACTCGAGTAAGATCGAACATGTGTTTGGACTTTGCTCTTCATGATACACGAGCAAAGGGTGTTTACTCAGATTACCAACTCTTGAATGAGGCAAAAAAAAGTAACAAAGAATAAATGAAAAAGAGACGAAAATATCTCCTGTGAAAAAAAGAAATCAACAAAGAAGAAGCTTTAATGCTGCTCTCGCCTATTGGGGGCGTATTTACCTATTCTATCTTCTTAGTATTTTTGGTGTTCGATATACTGTATTTCTTAGCCGTCACCGGCATAATCATTTAATGATACGGAGAAGAAATGTACCTTAAGGATACGTGAAAATGAGTGTATATTAATTTTTCAAATTTAAAGTAGTACTATAGGCGTATTATATCAAAAGCAACAAAATAATAAGAAGTTTACCAAATATTTCAATGTAGACTTAAATAACTAATATTAGAGCTGGTGTAAAAGAGCTGCGCAAGAGGAAGGCACAAAAAGGAAGCTATCAATGGGAATAAATAGAGTATATTAGATGTGTGGAAACAAAAGCAAACTCCGACGAATACGAGAAACAGATTTGCTAAACTGGAAAGCTTTAAAAATATAACGTTCAATGAATATTTTATTTAGCGAAAGGATATGTAAAACCTTTACGATATTAAGACTTCAAATTTGTTGTAATGCCTTTGGAAAATCAAACCCTTTAACCTTTCGCATGCAAAAGAAAGAGTATGGGAAGAAAAGATTATAAAATCAGAACCATGAGTTTCGTGAAAGTAAACATATTCGTTTGCTTCACTCTCATCGAATGTGGTTCAACATTCATCGTCTGTCCTTTTAAAGTTCCATTCCTGTTTTAATGATAATAATATGGCATAGGCGCCAGAAGTAAAAGCCGATAGAATAGATTCAGATATCACTACCAAACACAATAAGCAGTGATATTAGATGCAACTCATACCAAGTGCTTTTCTTCTACATATGTTCTTTGCTACCTTGCTCTTCCTATCCTTGTTGCACATGCAAAACGGTTCATTTTACACGAAAAAAAAGGCATCCTTTTTCTTTACTCTTTGACAGGAAGCCTTTCAGATTTCAAATGATATCACCAATACCCTCTGAGCTTAGTTATGATCGTTATATGTGTAATACAAAACTTAGTCACCACATGTTTTTGCAAAAACCTTCACAAAGGGATATAAGTAACTCGTCAGATATCATTAAAATACAAAGGAATAACCATTTATCCAGCCCCCTAACGCACGTTCGATATATGCTAATGAATCAAAGCACGACTATCAACAAACAATTTTTTGCAAGAGTGAACTCCAACACAGACAAATTTCAAGTCTTCCTCTCCTTTACAACCCTATAAAGTATTTAAAACGCAAGACGGTACGGCAAGGAAAAAAATGAAGGATAAAATCAAATCGTACGTTCCCCCTATATATTCTGCACCCTCGCAGTCGTAATGATATTACTCTTGTTCAGCCTGGCGTTCCTTTCTAGCAGCCTCCTCTTCCCTTTCCTTTTCCACCTCTTCGACAAACATACTGAGCTCCTCATCGCTGAGGTAGCTCGCCTTCTTGTACTCTAACACGAGGAGTTCCACATTCTTGGATCCACTCTCGACCACCTCCAGGAGTGATTTAATCGCGAAGTGCACGCACTCGTCGCGCGTCATATTCTCCTTATACAACTTCTCCATGTATTCGATAACTGTTTGATCATGTCTGCCGATCGCCGTCGCCTTCCACGCGGAGGTCATCCCCGACGGGTCAGTCTTCCACAGATGCGGCTGGCCGTTTTCGTTGAAGCCACCGATGATGGTGGAGACACCAAATGGCCGGCTGCCACCACTCTGCGTTGACTTTTGCTGAACACGGGCAACAAAGCGAACCAACAGGTCGACATCCATGGCGTCTTCATAGTTGAGCCGAAAACGCTGGCACTCTAACTGGGCCTTGTTAATGAGCACACGGGCATCCGCGGAGAGCCCCGCGAAGGCGAGGTAGATGTGGTCGTCGACTTTACATATCTTACGAATCGTACGACTATCTTGCAACTTCTGAACAGAGCGCTTCTCGATAGCGATCACGATGCTGTCCTTCCCCAGCACACCAACCGTCGCTAGGCCTTTCTTGACAGCCTCCTGCGCATACTCCACTTGGAACAGGTGACCGTCAGGGGAGAAGACTGTTATAGCACGATCGTAGCTCATAGTACTGAGTTTTTTTTGTGTTGGTTTACTTCACTTTAACTTTCCTAAAGATGCTTTCTATTGGAAATAGACTAAGAAAAGAATCACCCTGTATATAGTTATACCACGCCAATAAAGCAAGCCGCCAAAGATTTCCACGATGAGTCTGTGCATTACATATATGCATAATCGAATTTTCTCTTTGAACAACAACGCACAAATGAAAAAAAAAACAGTCCATACCTCCACAATCGCAAGACAGCAGAAAACTTTTTAAATCAAAAGTAGGCAAGTAATCTACACTACCCCTTTTTATGAAGGAAATGCTTCTGTGTGGGTATAAATATATAGCAGAACAAATATTCGGTAGACGCAGAGGCGTGCTGATATACTACGCTAGCACAAAGCATATTGGGCAAGACAGCAACAATTTAAAGACTCCCATTCGTTGAAGAGACTTCTAGGTGAGAACATAGCTGCCCGGTTTCTGGGGGCCCGATACAGCGACTACAGTGACTCACAGGGATACTTTCCCCCTTCGTTATCCCTTTTTTCCAAACAGTATTAAGCAGACGCATATCTACAGTAAATTTGATAAGAATAAAGGGCTCAAACTCTAAGAAATTGAGGCACTGAGACGTAGTCCCATATATCTATGCTGTCTAGTACTTCCTCACCACAGATCTCCTCTATTGCTGCTGCATTTGGTGCGTACATATCATCAGGTTCTACCTCCTCCACCCCCCTGCCCGACAGCCGTAGGAGAAGTTGCTCCGCGCCGCAGAAAGAGCTTTTTGTGATAGTGAGGAGGTGGATGAGATCACGCGTGTTTCCAACAATTCGACGAAGGTGCATGCGAAGGTTCACGGCGTGGTATAGGACCGGCCCGAAGTTCCCGCTGCTGCTATTCATTGACCCATCAAGGGACGTCGCCGTCGACGACCTGCCATACAGATTGGATATGCACTGTGTAAGCAACAGAACACACGCATTACTTTTTGTCGCAAGGCATTTAATGGCCTGAACTGCAGCGTGCACGGTTGCTTGGCGTTGTATGAGGTCGCCAAGATTGCTAAACCCCGAAAAGCTTCGCTGCACAAGCTGCGTGAAGTCATCAACAACGATAAGCTGAGTACGTGGGTGCTGCATTAGATGCTGATGGATGACACCACCAACCCCTCCACCATGATGTGTTTTCGATAAAAAGTCCTCTACTTTTTGAAGCGGGATACAGAATACGGCTGAGAGGGCCGTGGCAGGGTTCTTCTCAACGTGCGGCGCAAAAACCGACATCATCTGAGCATCCACCGCCTGTTCGGGGCCGCCATGGAGCCACAGAACCTCTCCCCCGCCGC